TTTTGCCTAGAGAAGCCAGTTCTGTAGATGGTCACAAGGGCAGGCCCGCCCATGGCAATGTCCTTTTGCGCTCCCATTGCGAGCCTTCGGCAGCCAAGAGCTTCGCGCAAGAGACTCCTCCACAGCCTCACGAGCCCCTAAACCCTGCAAACCCTTCGTTCGCACAATTCTTCAAACGCATTTGCTCTCTCCGAACTATAACTCCGCAATGCGGGCTCGTCCTTGCTAGGCTGCTCGGCCTTCATAAACCTGAAAGTTTCCGGGCTGCTCGTGGCTGAGGAGCTCTTGACCCTTTTCCCAACCGCTGCGACTCCTGGGATCGATGGTGGCTGGGCTTGGTATGTTTTTTGTTTGGGAGCTTTACGGACTGTTTTACGGTTTGTCTAGGATCTCATGTCGCTGCAAAGCAGGATTGGGGGGGCTCTTAGAGGTGTTCTGACCGTTGCAGAGCTCTTCGGTGGCTCGAGGTTTGAAGAAGCTTCTTGCTGGCTCACAGCTTCCGGGGCTTGTTCGTAGAACGAATCTAGTGCGTGTGTTTGGCCCAAGCCCTACACTTTGCACACCAATGGATTCCTACACTATGAGTTGATTAGCATGTTCTGCATTCTGATTGTATTCTGGTCTGAGAAAGTAGGGTTTCTGTTTTTCGAAGAAGGTATAGGAGTTTTAAATGGTGAGATGAGCAGGGCAACCTTGTCATTTAGGCGCTTTGTCTTCCTCATGACCTATTCTACCTTCGAAGATGCCAGATACTTCCTGCATGTGATCTGCATGCCCAGAGAAGGCTGACTTTGGAGCCGCTGACTTCTAGTTAAACAAAAGTATCAACAGAGCTCGGGGAAACTACGTATTTCGTTTGCGTTCTTTGGAGCGTTTGTACTATGTATCACATCATAGGAACAAAGCCAGATCACTTCACCTACCGGCAGGCTGATCGTGGCTTTCCTGCGCCCCCTCACAGCAGTGGTATCTTTTACTTGCGCCTCAGCTTTGTGTACAATACCTGCAATGGGCATGGGGCAGTTGAGCATTCCTTCGCTTGAAAAGGGCTATCGTGGCGTTGAAGCAGACATCCACCGACCGGGGAAGTCTGCAGCAGAAGTGATTGCCACTTGTGATAAGATAGCAAGCCCGAGTTGTTGCAGGTTCAGCAGCAATTCAAGGACCTCTTTCCCGCACAGGTGCTGTCGTGGGACCACCGTGTTATCGCCGGAACAGCAAGCGAGGCTTGGTGGGATGATTAGAAACATCTTGGAGGGTGCTGGCTGTGGGCAATTGCAGGGGCGGCTGTGTGGTGATGGCCACGCATGCAGTTGCCATTCCGGGTGATCGTGACGACGTAGCTTGTGGCTTCATGATAATTTAATTTTCTTTACTATAGACGTACAGCATGGGTTAGATTGTGTCCACTGCATGCTGGGTCCGACAGAGTCCAAGGCTGGGGCTTGCAGAAATGATTGCGGCTTCTTTTATTTGGTGTTTATCTTTTTGTGCAGAGTTGCTTGTTTAGGAACCTCCCATCTCCCCATCGCCAATTCATGCATGGGGAGCACATGCACTGGACAGTTTTTTCTGGTTGCCGCATGTCCGCCTCTTCCGAGAAGCAGCACGGGATGTGTCCAGCGTGCGTGTGCGTGCGTGTGTGTGTGTGTGTGTGTTGTTTTTGTTTGTGCATTTCTGCAGCCTCATTTTAGCGCACGTGCCAGCGCCCACATCGGGAAGGTGCGTAAGAGAAACCGATGGCCAGCAGCCAAGGCGATATCCACAAAGCTAGCGAGTCCTCGGAGAGTGAGTCTTCGGCAAGCTCCGAAGACACGGGATGATGTGTACAGCATTCAAGACAGGGTGTCGGACAAAGCTGCGCCGCTCCGGTGCCAGCTCAGCCCGGAGACTTTAGACTCCGGCGGTGGCAAAGTTCTACCTTGTCCTGGAAAAATCCGGGAGACAGCACATCGGGGGCAGGCAGGACCAGGCTGTTCTAGTGTGCTTGAGTTGGAACTGACGGGTTCAGACATCCATTGAAAGATTTCTATCACAATGCAAGCATCAAGTCCAGAACTCCTGCGAACAGGCCGCTGATAGATGATCTCATGAAGCCACATTCTGGTTACAGACCGTGGTTTCGGGTTCGGGATCGTGGTGTGCTGGCTGTGGCCTTGGAAAAAGCAAGACTGGAAAGGTCCCAGTTTGCGTCCCACTCGCCCTGCTCCGGACCCTTCGGCAGTAAACTCACTGCAACCCTGATCCCCGGAGAATTCGCTTCAAGAAAGCCGCTTGTTGCAAGATGCAAGCACCCCGACTCCAAGCAAACACTCGAACTGCTGCGAGCCATCATCACACCCAAATATTTATGTTGACGCCTCCGACCCACATCAACTGTATCTTCCCTGGCTCCTTCTTCCTGTCCCCACCTCGATATCCCTGTTATCTTTTTACTCCGTACAACACACACAAAGATGTATCGGAGGCCCGGGACCGGAAGCTGGAGTTCGAGCTCAAGTTGGGTACAGACCTGGCGCGCCTTGCGAAGCCTTGGGCTAAGACCCGGGCCGGCTTACACTTTGACGGTTTTAAGTTTTAAGGTCTCAGGGTGTTCATGCTTATGTTTGTTCGTTTCTGTTTTTATCTGCAGGGCTTTGGGTCTTGTGGCGCCCAGCCTACTATTTTGCAGGGCTTGCGGCTTTCCGGTAAGTCTATCGGAATTAGACTAAAGCTTCATGAGGTGTTGCATAATCATATCGGCGGCTGCTAGAAGTGCTCGAACTGCACTATAACTTCATGAACGATCGAAAAAATCGGTTGTATGGAAGACCATGCCTGCTTCATACCTACAAGGGACTGCGTGATGTTGCGTCGATTCCAAAACTTCCATTGTAGGCAGTTCTCAAACTTGGGTTCCCTTTCCTTCGCCCGCAGTATGAGACTGATAGCTCGTAGAGAACGACACTGTACCCTTGGCCTTGATCCCCATACCCTGTCAGCTGGGCCGGCGGCGAAAATAGCCGTGACCCTCTATGCTCTGAAGCCTTCACTTCTACCCCGCACTCTAAACGCCCTCCTGACAAGTCAAATTCTCCAAGGATTGAAGCGGGATGCTTTCGGATAGCTTGGTTTGTGAGGCTTTTGGGGTTTAGTTGCAGCTAGGGTTCTTATGCTTGGTCCGGCTGCCCCTTGTCCGCTCCCGACGGTGGGCTTGGACAAAAGTGTTGCTAGATGCTTCTACTATGGGTGTCTAGGGTACTATTGGGTGATGATGGAACGAGCTGGATTTCGACTGATTTCCTTATCGGAGCTGAATACAGCGACTGGAGCTGGAAGGGTTCCTGAGGGCGAACACAATCGGAGAGCGGCACCACAGACACTAGTTTGTTCGGTACGAGTCCGCGTGATATCAAAGTAACAAGCTAAAAGGAGTGGCATAAGACAGAGCCCCTGCCCTTCTTCAGCGTCATGAGTTTGCAAGCCCTTCCGAGGCAACAAGTGACAGATGGCTTTCTCGCGTGTTTCCCACCTGAAACACTACTGATCGACTTTTGAGGTCTGGGGAAGGACGACGTGCCAGCGCAAAGAGAGCTACGGTGGGGTCGCCAGGGGACGGTTGCCAGTAGGCAAGCTTTTGTTCAGTCCCGATGTGGTGTTGTCAGAGCTGATGGCTTCAGCACACTCAAATCTAAGTTTGGGCATTAGTGGCACATGTAGGTAGCTCAGCAAAGATCTCATGGCAGGTGCAGAAAGCACTGGTGAACAAGAATGTTGTGTGTCTGGGTTCCCATACATTGACATTGCCCAGTGCTCGAGCTCGCTGTGTACAGATCGATTCATCTCAGAGATGTTGACCGCACAGGTGCCGAGGCCAGCTGTGGACGTTTGGTTTCGGATCTCAGCATGCAGGATTTCTTGTCGAAACATCTCGCACTCAGCTCCGACGTGCCTTGGTGGATGCTGCATTCCCGCCTGATGTTTACTTGCGCATCCAGATTGTACTGCGCAGCACACCTCAAGTACGCAAGAAGCACATATCCCAGCGCTCTCGATTTTCAACTATGTATTGTTTCTCAGCGGTTCTCAGCCCATCAGGCAACTTCCTCATGGCAACTCAACCATCAGACGGTTATGACTATTCTGGCAATAACTCAATCTGCAGCAAGCTGTATGAGATCTGATTGAAAGCTGACTCAGGTCTACTGCACCACCCCGTGGCTTTTTTCTGGGTGGTGCCGGGCGCTCGCACTTCACTTCCACCTAAACCCAGCGACAGTCTCTTCAACCAAGATCTATACATAATCATGCACAAGCCTGGAACCTCGACTTCTCAGTCGAATTAGAGGGTTGGGAATGTTCCGAGGGTCATATACAGAGTTTGGGTATGAGCGCAGGCTTAGGCTGGGAGGCTGCCGGGGCTTTGCAAGGCTTTGCAAGTTCAAATTGTTGGGCTCCCGCGGAAAAGTGTGACTTCAGGCTCAATCTCTTTGTTTCCGAGCCTTAGAATCTGTTGTCTGTGGTGTCTTGTTGGCCCCGGCTGCCCGGAATTGCATGTTGCAGAAGCCCTCTTCGACTCGATTGTGGCATCATCACCTTCGCAGTTGCACAGCGATACTGCGCAACCCTGAACCCTGATGTATGTAGGGAAAACATGTATGTACGGCCATGCGAGGGGGAAAACATGTATGAACGTAATTGAACCCTAGACCTCTCCTGGCATGCCCGAGCTGTGAGAGCGTAATTGAACCGAGTCGACTGCCTGCAACATCTTGGGCTCCTGGAAGAGCTGCTGTTGGCCCAAGCTTCTCACTTCTTCCCATGCATGGGTCTCACACCCCAGCAGCATCAAGCAGGAGCGAAGCTTGAGAATACAGTGGTTTTAAACCCAAGCTTTGGGCCGAAGGTCCTGTGTATAGATTCCTAACTGTTTGCAAACAGTGGGTACCATGTTTCAGCTTTCAAGACGGTCAGCATAGGAGCATTCCCGCACTCCATTGAAGATCAGTTCTCTGTGCGCCATGTACAAGGGCAAAGGCAAAGGCAAAGTCAGGGACGAGTTCTTGGACTACTGCGTCTCGAGGGTTGACCCTGAAGACAGAGGACCGGCTATCACCTTGACGAGTGTCTTCATGGCCGGAATGGAATGAATTAAGATCCGAAGGTGATAGCTGATGGCAATGACCACGAGGAGGGCGAGGGCGACAGCACATTGCGCTGTTATTTCGTACCATCACGGCTAGCTGTGAGTATCATTCCCCCTCATGTGGTGATGTCTCTCTAGGCAGTTCGGGGATATCGCTTGAGCCATGTAAGCTCCAGAGGTCCCTAAGCCCTGAAGCCGCGAAGCCCTAAGATGAGTGGGTCTGTGCATCGTGGCTCTCGGAGGAGAGCTTGATAATTGTTGATGTCAGGGCGTTGTTCTGCGGCCATGCGACCAATCGTGGTGCAAGATCAAACACCGAATAGTTCAGTGCCCACCCCAGACTCGTGACCGCAGTAATCACAAACCATGGCACCAGTCGACAGCAACGACGATCAGATGATAGCGGGGGCTCGCAATGCGAGCGATGGAGCGGTAAAGCTTATTCCAGCATGATCGTGGGACGAAGCGTGTGACGCAGGTTTCGAGAACCATTAAGTCATCAAGTCCTGGCTGGATTCCTGGCTGGATCGCTCCGTGACAGTTCCTACCACAGCTTTTTTGAATCACGAAGTGTTTACCTGTACCCCGCAATCAAAGGCATCCGGTTTCGTATTCCATCGCAGCACTGTCGAGTTCGCAACCAACCTGGGCACAAAGCAGCCCGAAAGATGAAACAGTCACGTGACAAAATACTCAGGCCTTGCTCTCGTCCCATGGTCGGCTGAACTCCATGCATGGCTTCGGGACAAAGCCTCGGCCCGGCAAAGATTTTGAGGAAGTCTGAAAATTCTTTTCCAGAGGCCGACAGTCAGGTAAGCCGGTACCTGGAAACCCTCCGTAACACCGTTCCCGGGAACACCCTAGACCTGTGCACAGATCCGTCAAACCCAAACCGCAGGAAACTTGCGCCAACACCTACTTCCGCTGTCCCGGCTGCTAGCAACGAGGCCTGGTCGTGGAAAGGGGTGCCCAGATCTTCGAACCCCTCCCCTCAGCAGCAAGACGAGCATTCGGCTATGTTCTGTTTGGAGCCAGGGAAGATTTAGTTTTGCTCAGACTCTTCTTTGGAGATTGTGCCGGCGAGTGCCTCGTAGCATGCCCTCGGCAGGATCACCGAGCATGTGCGCATGTTCACGTATCCTTTTGCTGATTCTGCTGCAATCATTGACCTGCAGGAGAAAGCCTCTGCCACATTTCCATGAGGGTAAACCTGGTTTCGCATCAGTGACTGAACGACCAGTTGCGCTGCAGGCTGAGATACAAGGATGGTTTTTTCAGAAAAATGGGAATCGCATCTTGGCTTGCAGAAGCAACCCAAACCCAGGCAAGTATGGCACATGGATCAGCAAATTGAATTCTGCCCTCGCTCCAAAACTAAGGACATGGACCAGGACGGGTACATTGATCTCACGCAGGCCACTGGGCACTGAAGTGTAAGCCATTGTTGTAGCAATGCGTTACCAAGTCGCGAAAGCAAGTATGCAGTAGGTCCTGAAGTTGGATGAGTTCCAGCGCTGGACCGCCTTGGACGTGAAAGAAGTTGTCCAGGACCCCCGTCATTTGCCCTTTCTTTGATCACCATGCTTTACCATGATGGAGCGTCAGTTGTGGAACGTAGCGACGTAGCTGCTTTCGGCTGGGTGCCATCACGGCGTTTGCTTGCTCCTGCCTGTGCCCGTAGCCAGGAGTCTTTCTCCAAGGACAAGCCGCGGTTCCAGATAACAGAAAGAGGACGCAGCCGGGTGGGGCTCCATGATTTGTTTTTGCTGTCTCACAGGGTGTCATACATAAGGCTGTACTGTTCCCTGCCCAGACAGCCTGTGCACGCATATGCCGTCGGTCTTGAGCGTGTTGTTTACATGCATCCTCATGCACAGTTTATATACCGATCTTCCTCAGATTTTCAGGGCCATCAGACCCACGGGCTCCGGTGACCCCAGGGACTCCAATATTCCTTACATTTTGCATGCCTAACACAAGCGTGCAACTGACCTAAAGTAGGCTACACCTGCGGCGAGTGCAGTATCAAGACTGCTACTTTGGCGCTCGGAAAGGTCGGCATCATGTCCCTGTTAGCCTTTTTTGGGGTGTCAACACGAGTATGGTTGCATGGTCACTACTGTACATGTTGCTACAAATCCTTTTGTGTTGGCTTCTGCTGTTTCAACGTTAGCCCCAAGCTGTGCAGAGCCTGACGAGTTCTGTAAGAGAGGGCGGCGCCTTTTCATCCGCGCCTTTCACAAGCGCCCCGGAGTTGAACCAGGCCGCTTTGGGTTTCAGGTCGAGGGCTCCGTTGGGTTTAGGAGTCAGGGGAGGAGAGTGAGGATGGACGACTGCTTTCGTGTCAGTTGCCGGGAAGAGAAGGGCGATTGTTTGGAATGGGTGGCTCCGTCATGGACAGCGTCCCGGCATCTCGGCTTTTTGTGCTCGGGAGCTACTTGTTTAGTTCGAGTCGCCCTATCTGTGCAGTACGTGATGGCTGCCCCATTCATCCTGTTACTCGTACACTGCACCGATCGGACGGCTGTGTTATCTATGGGTTGACGCGGAGACTGGATGAGTCCCACAAGCAGAGAAGCATTGCCTTTATGTGCAAGTATCAAAGAGGTTGGGAAGAAGCATGTCCAGATCTTGTTCGAGCATAGCTGATGAATTCAGGTATTCGAGAGTGCATGTCTTGTCCAGACTGTGCACTCACCCGATAAGCACGAAGCCAAACAGCGTGACAAGCAGATCTTCTGAGCATCTCCCTGCTGTAAACCTGACCCGAACCTGTCAATCCGAAACATGCTAAGCATTGCAAAGACAAGCGCAAAGCTTAGGAAGTAGAAGCCGAGACCTATATAGCTCTCGAACTCCACGAGATCTCAAGACAAGTGGCGCGCGCCCCTGAACAGAATGGCTGCGCAAAGACCGCCTTCGCGAGCGAACCCCCAGCCCGGGTCCGCCGGAGCTTCCATCGGATCCCTTCGAGGCTGCGGGTTTCAAAGGCTACCTACAGTGCTTTGTGGATGTAGTGCTTATGGCGTAGAGGGTTTTGGAGTTTAGGCTTTGGGATGTGGTAGAGTCGCTGCAGACCGGATGCAAAAGGCTTTGGGATGTTTTGGGGTGTTTGGGTTTGTAAAAGGTGTCCCGGGTAGCTCAATCCAGGTTTACCTTAGTTTACTCGGCTATGCCGGATTTTCGCCGGGTTGTTGTTTAATCATTGGTACTTCATCGATCAGTCAATGATGTGCACCACCGATCGAAGCAGTGATTGAAAATTGAAACTCACAGATGAGAGGAGGGAGAGAAAGCCAGAGAGAGAGAAAGAGGAGAGAGCGAGCAAGTGAGAGAACGAGAGAGCGACAGGGAGACAGAGGGATGGAAGAATTGAAAGTACGGAAGTATAGGGGAGAAGGACAGAGTCAGGGTCTGAGTGCTGGAATACAGAATTGCGACATAGCAGCAGAGCATTCTATCAGGTTGCAGCGGTCTGCTTCTACTCTGCTGGTGCTAGTGGCACCGCTGCTCTATCAACGGAATGATTCCCAGCAGCATGATCTGTTTGTCTAATGGTTGCATTTTTGCAAGCACCTATAGTCACGAAGAGATGCATCAATTTGGCTGTCGATGTTCTGTCACAAGGTCGGCCATACGGCAATCGGTATAGATAGATAGATAGATAGATAATAGATACACACACACACACACGCCCCTGCCCCCACATGATCCATACCCGTACCCGCTTCCTTTGACAGGAAAGGATCATGGTGGTGGGGATACCTGCAGGTTGCGACAAAATGCCTGGAGCCTGAAATGCGACAACATTGGCAAGAATCAAATTTCCCCCAATTCTCAAAATCTGAGCAACTATCTGCCCCCGCAATCCTAATAGATGCCAGGCTGTGTGTAGAAATGTCGGTGAAATTTGATCCCTGTCAATGCTTTCGCAAATCAGGCGCTTGAAACTTAGGGGGAAATTATTATCTGGCGAATTTTTGACAGAATTTTCCATATCGCCTGAAGCCTGGATGCAAAGCACTATAGAATAACAATTGAAGAACAGCTGTACCTTGTACTATTGAAGCGTGTTGGTGTTTGTGTTGCTTTAGAGAGCATTGTGCAAGCACAAATGTTTTGTTGGACCTTACAACCTCTCGAGTTCTTGTTTCTTCATTGAGGAAAGGTCTTGCCCATAATTTAGCCAAACGCCCGTGAACAAATGTTTTCTTATGGTTCATACTCAGAAACTAATGCGTCTAAACCTTAATGCAGGAACCGGCCTGTTCTTTCTCATGGCGTGGACGCGGCGCTCTAGCTTTCTTCTCTATGTTGAGAGACCGATGATCCTCATGTTGTGAGCCAGCACATAAGCTGATAAGCTTCATCATGTCGTATTGCACGGTAAATGGCCGTTTCTTTTGTAGTACATACACGAGCCTTCACTTGCTTCAGCTACTGACGATACTAACGTCTCTTTCATACAATGCAATCACAATTGTAGTTAAAGGTCACCTTTTCTTAAGATGTAAGACACTTTTTTGCTTTCCCTGAAGTATAATGAGCAATATAGACGGATTTCCACATTTGCTATGAGGCCATGCAACTAAGTTTGGAGCTGTTTCAAATTGTATTAAAGGATGGCAGGAGATTGTTTGCTTCTTGCTGGTGGTACGGTGCAGTGGAGTTTCATTATGTTCTGAACCAGGATCCTCATGCATCTTATGAAGAGAAAGCAGCCAACGTGTTCAGCATATGAAGCTGCCTTCATTGCACCTCAAACATAAAGAGGCATGGAGGCCGCTTCCACATGTGTTGTGAGGACCAATTTTTTTATCTTTATTGAAGCATGGATAATGGGTCTTTGCATCCTTGGTGTTAATGAGCCACAAATGCCCTTGTAATGTTTGTTTTTCATCGAAGGAGTTCCCTTAATTGTCTCTTATGGCATTATAGCATGAATAGAAGCGAAACCATTTCTACTCAAGCTGTGGACTTAAAAAGTTCGACGATTTTTAGATGGTGTTCAATTGCGTACAAGACATAGAGGAGTTATTGTTCGCAACATAAAGAAATACAAGCGTGCTCTCTTATTTCTTACAATTATAAAGAAACGTCCTGTTTAGTCAGTCATTGGCAAAATGCACGAGCATTTTGGTTTCTGGCCACTGGTGAAGATGAAGAGAGGAGTAGTGTTCTTTGTTTTGTGACGAGTGAAGATTTCCTTCTGAGAGAAGAGCTCTCTTCTTCGTTATGGACGGAACAGCCGGATCTTTCCAGAAGAGGAGGAGCTGTCTGGTGTTTTCTTTGGTTGAGAGAGGCTGGAAACGGCAGGCAGGCACGCAACGCGGAGTGGCAAACAGAATCCGTTTTGGGATTCAGATGGTTTTCACCTGCTGCAGAGAAGTAACATGACTAGTGGTAGGCGTAAGCGAAGAGGAGAAACCACCGTAAAGACCGATGCATTCTTCATTTGGGAGACAACAGATAAAGACGGAAGATAGTGGCAGAAAAGTCGGCAAGAAGGCTGGCATGGATCATCGGGGGGAGGGGGTGACCATATGTACATATATATATATATTATATGTATGTATATATATATATAGATATAGATAGAGAGAGAGATATGTTAGTACTTGTACACGTGTGTATACATACACAAGCAACATTGACATACATATTCATTTGCCTACACACAGTACATACATAGATACTTAAGCAGCACACCAGCAAGGATGAGCACGTGTTCAGATGGAATGCCGCTGGAGTACGACTGGACATTTATTTTGGCCACCGAGTCTCAACATATGCGCAACCTTCAAGTCTCATCTGCACCCGAAGCGTGAGCGACGAAACCCTACCCTCGTACAACACTGCCTTGCAGGTGGGCAGCGATGATGGCGTCGGAAGTGTCCGACGAAACAAGATGGCAGGCCTTGGCCTCAGATCCCTGTCTAGAGTTCGCTGTACAAGGACCAGGTGGAGCCAACACCCTCTCGGCATGATGCGGTCGCGAAACAATCAAGTTGTAGGCTCAATCTTTCGGTTCAAACACCACATGCTCACGACGGCGGCGGAACTTCTAGGTATCATGTCAATCGACGTGCTCTTGTGTGAGAGCACCTGCTTCATGCAAGCTAGATGCGTGCATTCCTTTCGCGCCGTTGCCGTTGTTGGATTGTGGAGTGCATCAGCTCTCAGTGTGCCTCCCTGTGTTAAAGTTTCTGGCAACTTACGTGTCTTGCTATGCACGCAAGCCCCCTGCTCCTGCAGTTGCAACGCCACCGATGTGCTTCGACTTGAGCCAGGAGGAGTGCACAGAGCGGCGAGAGAGCAAGGTCACGTTTCCTTCATACCGGGTATTTCACGGGTCTCGTTGTTTTTGCACATTATTTGTGGCTATACTGGCCGCACTGTCTCCTAGTCTGTAAAATGTTGGAAGATCAGAAATGCCAGGAGTAGCAGCAGTATAGCAGATTCATGAGAGTCCTTGTGGCGCATGTTGAAAAGTCGCGATTCTTTTCAGCGCCGGCTGTCCATGTTCATGAAAATACAAGCTGCTTGATTTCAACTTAAAAGCATGAAGACCGTTGTCATGTTGCCTCCCTGTGTACCCGCAAAATGGGAGGACTCCGCAGACGAGGATGTGGACGCCGAAGCAGAGCCGGAGAACACGTTGCCGCAAGATGCCGTGCCCTCCCCAGGAGAGCATGAGTCAGCATAGCGAAGTGGCTTAAAGACTTCGAAACGGGACTATGGTTCATGACTTCACGCGCAAGAATGCCACATGAACATAAACTGCTGGTATTGGTATGCCATAGTAGGGACCGGTAGCCAGAAGGCGCTAGTGTTTCGCGGGAACGGATAGGTCGCAACTTAAGTTACTCGGATTAGTGGCATATTCGATTCACGAGGAGAGGTTGTAACAGACAGGCCTTCTCGTTGCATATACAGCGGGTGTAACTGTTTCCTTTATATAGTTTTTTTGTTTTTTTTGCCGTTGTTTTGGTCACCCACATAAACTTATTCAAGTCCGCGGACATCCCGGCAAAAGCACGGACGTCCCGAGAGCAAAGCTTGATGTTGGCTTGGGAAAGAGTAAATTGTTTTGCAGGCACATATGCTTTCTTAGGCACTGATGCCCACGGACGGAAATTTCCCGGCTTCCCGACAAAATCTTAACAGAGTTGTTCAGCACGAGGTCTTTCCACCCTATGTTACAATAGTGTTGTGAGATGCTTTTGACCATAACGGCATATCTGTAACTGTATGCGAAACATGGACTTAGTTCTTGCTTGTAGCCTTGCCTTCGACCGGTGCACACTGCAGATCCGGTGCCCTTCTTCCTTCGCTTGTTCGCTTCTATATATAGATGTATTGCCGATTCGTCCCGCAACCATCGTTTATTATTAGTTCATAAAGTTTTTTTAGTCCCTAATAATAAGTTTCAGGACAGGCAGGGCAGGGTTTGGGATTCAGGGTGGTGTTGGTGTGTTGGGCCTCGCGGCCTCACGCTTAGGCTTCAATACCCGCGATGACTGGCATGAGGCTGACAGCAACTGAAACACGTCTTTTCAAGAGAGTTAGGGTAAACAGCCACCCTTCAAGTACTTGATCTCCTGTAATTTCTGAGCTCCGAGGCGGTGCTCTCCTCGTTGGGCGACGAATGGTTCAGGAGGGAAGGGAAGGGAAGCCGGGGGGTTTTGATTAGGTCCCGTGAGTCCGGGCTTACAGTGGGTCAGGGCCCCAAGAAGATCGGGTCGGGGCATCCTTTCTGCTGAAGAAGCCTCGCGTTTTGCTATCCCGAATCCTGTAAACCCGACCTTCTAAGACCATTGGTCCAAGAAGTAGTGGCCTTGGCAGCGTTAGTTCAGACAACCGGTTACTGGGGACACGAAACCAAACAGCAACCCACACCTGGTAACCCGAAATACTCTGAGCGTCAGTAGCCTAACTCTTCGAGGATGCCACTGGAGGGCTCGATCTACGCCTGGGTCTGCCGGCGACAAGATGGCTCTGAAGATGGCTTCGTCGAGATGAACCCTGCTACTGGGCTCTGTCTTCGGGTTTAGTACGGAGCAGGGTTTGGGGTTTAGGCCTTACGGGGAGTGCAGGATCCAGGACTGCGGTAGACCTGGTGACCGGGGTGCATTGAGGGTTTTAGCGCCGCGGGCTGCAGGCTCGCCTGTGAGTTTCAAATTCCTTGTATGAATGTTCGTAAAGTTTCAATTGAAGTGGAAAAGGAAGCAACACGAACATGGGCAAAGGAGCAGAGTGGATCGTGCCCACATTTCTCAAGAATGCCCATGGGAATATCATTCACCGAGTTGCTGATTCATCTGCTTCGGTATTGACTATTTCCTGCTTGGTTTGGGATTCAATCGCCAGAAAGCGACCCGAAGGCCACGTTCATGCACTTTCGCATTGCGGCGGCATCATACCATATACATTGAATGTTGTACTCACAACGTCCCGAACCCCCGGCATTTCCCCCTGCACAGCCCTGGATCCGTCGTCCTTCGTGAGGCCCCTTGGGTTCATGTTGGCCCTGGCGAAGTGGATGAGCTGCTCGGCAAAGTGATGACTGGCTCTGTCACTGTGATTCTTGCTTGAAGCATTCTTCTGCATGTGCAGCATCTTGCGGATCCTGCATCCAGCACGCTTTTACGATCTAGGTGCCGCTGCTAGTGCCCCAGATCTTTCTTAATTGCGTTCGGGAGCCACGAGCTTTAGTAAATTAGGCGTGGACTGTCGGGCAATTCAGCAAGGATCAGGTCATTGATGTCCGCCACAGCTCGAGATAAGTCGCTGAATCGCTAAGTCAGACGCCATGCTTCCCTCTGAGCCCAAGGCGGCCATGCTGGATCAACGAATCCACCCAGGAGTTCTTCTTCATCGAGGAGGTGGAGGGGCCTAAAGCAGAAAAAATCGGCACAACTTCCCAACACCCCAGTTTCGGGAGCACTGGGCCCAAGCCTTCAGCACAACTCCTGGAAGTCGGAACGGAAGGTTAATGTCCTCAGATCATGTCGTGAAGTGTAGGAATACATCATCGTAACTCTAATCGCCCTTAGGGCCGCAAATTCGTTACCCAAAGCACGAAGCTGCAAAAAGCTCAGCCTCAGCTATGAATATGTCAGTGGCCCCAGACACCTTCCGACCCTCAGTCGCTGCTTCTCCTGACCCGTAACTCAGTTCTCATTTTGCGGAGGCGCCCTGAATCATGCGCCGCCCAGCTGGCAGAACGAAAAGGGGCTTGCAAATCGGTTCCTAGAATGTGCGTCGGCTATGCAGCTGGCTTTGAACATATGTATGCCGGTATGCCTCGGGGCACAGTGCTGGCTCCATAGGACATGCTGCTAAATTGATGTAGAAAGCTCGTCTTTCCATATCCACGCGCATGCACGAGAAGCCGCAGCCGTCCGATGGTTCCAAGATGAAACATGTACTAGTCATTTGCGTCAGCGCCGCTCATCAGGATACTTACTCGTTTTACAGGACCCAGAAATAAAGTGGCTTGTCCTCTGTATAGCTTCAACCGTGATGGCGGCAGCCTCTGACGACCTGGAAATCACGGTGCCTTCGACGTCAGTCGAGCTCCTCGATAGTGCAGTGGCGCATATGTCATTTGCGACCCGAGCTGATCCGATTTCTTGAGTCAGGGGTATAGGTAAAGGCCTTGACAGGAAGTCCCCTCAAAGCCAACTGGGTCTGCCATGGTTTGCCTGCGAGTCGTCCAAAACAGCCCAGGGCCGACCCATCTTCGATCAATCACTTCCACGTGCTTGAAGACATCGCGGCCTTCACAAACGGCTCGGACCTTGGGGCCGATCTAGAAGAGAGAGCACAGTTTGCAAATGATTGGTGGTGAGAGCTTGCTTCAGAAGGTATGGCAGGACCGTGTACCTGTTCGTTCATCAGTCTGACATGCTGAGAACAAGCTTTGGATCGTTGAGGAAGGTTGAGACCCGCTGCTCTGAAAACCGGCCTTTTGATGTGGCACCACAGGGGGGCCATCTCCAAAATGCTCACCGTTCAATCTAGACCCCTTGGACGAAAAGATATCCCCTGTTCGAACAACGGGAAAGGTCGCGCTGCTAAGTATGCGTTTGCAAAGTTGTTTGGTTCTGCCCTTGCCACATCTTGTGGTTACACGCAGGAGGTGTAGGACTTCAACAGTTCGAGGACTGCGTGAGAACTAGGGCCATGCAAGAGTAACTATTATACTTATAACTTAGAACTGATGAAGTTTATTCTGTATTCTTGTCGCAACCTATCATCCTGTCTAAGATTATTTTTGTATTACGTTGTCCTTTTCCGAACACCCGTGGCCATGTCCCAGGTCGGCTGACAACGCAGCTGGCGAAACGAAGCTTCGTGCGCAACGTGCAGATTAGCGCGCCTCGGCTCGGGTGCTTGGAGGTCCATGGGTAGTTATATAAGTCGGGTTTTTGTAAGTCCCCTAATATGGGTTATAAGTATAGTTACCCTACTTATCACCCCATTTAGAACTACCCATGAAACCTCCAAGTGGAAGGAGTTTGGGGCCTTGAGGTTGGGAGCTTCTCCATGAGACCACTTACTCAGCTTTCGCCGGGACGAGAACAGTAGACTAGGAGTCTACCTTTCCTCAGCCGCGAGAGGCGTCCTGAGATGCGGAACTGTAAACCTGAAACACTACGCCGCGAAGAAGATTCTAATGAATTCGAAGATTTCTCACAGTCTATCCTTGCAGGAGTGTTGTTAAGCAAAGTGAAAACGCCAAACCCGACTTCATGTTCCAAGATATACAGCCGAAGAGTATGCCAGCGCGTGGACTCATAGACTTTAGAATTTGGAACCCTTGCCACTGTGGTGACGCGTCCCAACAAATGCACATCCTTATGAGTTGTTGTCTTCAAACAGGTCTTAGTGGCCACGTGGGCTGTGGTACTGTCCCTGCCGATCATCATCTGGCCATGGGCAGCTGTCATGTGCCACGGCTGAAATCCAAACCATGAAACGTCGATATCCTGACTTTACTGTTTTACGGTTCTTGCAATGGCATTGTTGTGAAACTTAGCTACGCAAAATGTCCTGAAAAAGCCGCAAAGCATTGCGAGGATACCTTTAAAGAGAGAACTCCGACAGGCAGGCAGTAAACCCAGAACGGCGCAGCAAAGGCTCCGACAATGACGACAGAAACTATCGCTGCCACCATTGGACCATGAATGTAGGGGCCTCAATAATTCGACTAGGGTTTTAGGGTATAATCTACTATACTTATAATAAGGAGCCCCCTTAAATAGTATAGGTAATTATTAGGCCCCTATATTAGCTATTACCACGCCCGATCTGTACCACGTAAGCTCAGCAGCCAGAACATCAACCGTGGGGCAGGCGGGACACCGGCATTCTTATGTAGATCATCAGGCAAGAAGGTTGAGCGCGGAACACGGCTCTCAGACAACACCTCCAAACAGTCGGACAGAACACAGCCAATAGACAGACAGCATGCTTGTAGTGACCATTACTTGTGGGAGTAGCAGAATCGGTAAGTATGCCAACACCATGCTGGTCATCTAGAAGTCATCGTACCCATCGCACCCATGGGCAAGACAATGATGAGGCGAGCTACTGAACTTACCCGAATGGAGGCAGCGACAGAGTGGAAACGACCTTCAGATTTCAGCACGGAGCAGTCGCAAGGATCTTAGCATGCATGGGCCTTCAGAAACCTTCTGACCTGAAAACTCAGCACGGGGAGGGGCCCTGACAAATTTGCAGCCAAGGAATCACGCGTGGTGTCGCGACCTCTCCTTACCTGACTGCAACATGCATCCTGGCGTCTGCCGGGTGGAATGGAGCCTCTGGAGGTTTACGACGGAATGCGTGCCCTCCAAACCCAGCGCCTTTCTGAGCCTTTCCGGACACCAATACCTCTGTGAGTTTTGTGGTCCTTCTGAGACTCTAGGGCCCTGTCACAAGATGAGTTCGGTAATAGTTCACCTGTGCATCGCAAGAACAAAGGAACCTTTGGGGGACTATGCTGCTTCAGTTTGTTTTCTCCGTTTATGTGGACCTGGGCATGACCACCAAGTTTACCTTACAGGGCCTCTTTGGCTCGTGCTTAGCATATGTGAATGTCATGTTCCTGAACCGGGTGCTGGGATTTTTATTCGCCGGCGGTGCCTACAACGGAGACAAGTTCACGGTCTCCGTGCCCATTCAAGGAGAATCCTACCAGACCGCTTCCTACGCAGTCTCTTACTGGCTTCCGTTGTGCAACAACGGCGAAGTCAGGCTTCTCACTTCCAAGATGCTGAGCACCCTAACCTAACTAGTAGATAGAAGTATCGTTTCTGGTTGTATAAGACAGACCAGGTTTGCTGACAACGCAGCCCATTGCTTAATGAACATTTGGCTGGACAAGCTGACATGGTCCGGCTTTCTGAGATTGGGCGTCCTGTGGGTGGACTTTGCCCTTTTCGTACTCCTTTGTTTCTCTGTACCTTTCGATCCCAACCCGCGGATGTTTGCTCTATCGACGCACGTCAGCTTTATGATGACTTTCGTGAATCCTTCCGCCGACGGCTTCTCGACTGAGCCGACCTATGCCACGGACTATCTTTCCATGATCCTGGCTGCCTCCGTCATGCCCCTGGGCTCGACAGTTCTTTTGCATGCGTGTTTCTTAACAGCGGTGCTTGCAATCTGAACAGCTAACCACAGGGCAGCCAACTACAATCATCGTACGAGAAACCTAAAGGCGAACCCGGATTGACTCGCAACGTGAAGGAGGCGAGACTGGTTCCCACTTATGCCTAATCCTAGACACGACAACATGGACCTCTACACGCGAGAGATTCCCCAATGCACCGCTCTCTCCGGCAATCGAGAAATTGAAAGCGAGAGTCCGCATCATAAGCTTCCAAGCCAAGACAACAAGCCAAGGTCTTGAAAGGGTCAGCCATCCCAAGCCTTGTAGCCCTGCGCTATCAAGGTCCTTGCTTTGCTTCTTTCTGCCACGGCTCCGCTTCACAGCGACTGAAGCTGCTGGGGACTGGGCCTGCGACGCCCTGCAAGCCACGAGAGTGTTGCTGGCAGTGTTCATGTCGAGGCTTCAGGGTGCTGGTGTTCAGGCTGTACGCGACGGTGTAGTGTGGGTTCAAGCGTTGAAAGACCCCTAGGAAGTTCGTTGATTAGCTGGTGATCTGATGGACCTTGTAGCGGAAGGAAACAATACTCACCCACCTGCTTCACCCACATGCCCGATCCCAACCATGAGCTACCCAAGGTTGGTGAAGCATATTCCAAGTTCCCTCGATGGTGTACTCCGTCTCAAGATCCGGACTGTGGAGCAGTGCGCTGTGCAGCTTCTGCAAAGGCTTGAGAGGAGTCTGGCCTCTGCATGGTTTGAGGCGGCTCAGCATGGCTCGTAGTTTTCACCACGGCTCGTTTAGAAGCAGTTCGCGACTCTCTGAGACATGAAATGACATGAATATACTTCGAGCTGCATAGCTGGACATCCCCGTCCCGTCTAAATAAGTCTCAACACAAGCTGACTTGAAGCTACTGCCGCTGCTGCTGCTCCTACTGCTACCCCAACCCCTCCTACTGTTCCTTCTATTATCCTAGTCCTCCTCCTCCTGCTGCTGCTGCCACTACTACTGCAGCTACTGCCACTACTACGACCGCGACGACGACGACCACGACGACGACGTCTACTACTGCTACGACTACTACGACGACGACCATTATAACGATCACTAGTGCCACTGATATTACTTCTGCTACGGCCACCACCACCACCACCACCACCAGCACTGGTACCACTACCACATCCTGTTCCACTACCCACTACCACTTCCATTACGGCTACCGCTGCCTCTGCAGCTACCGCTAGCACCACCACGGCCACTACCATAACCACAACCACTACTACGACGGCTCTTACTACTGTTTCTACAACTGCTGCAACGGCTGCTACCGATAGTATCACGACTGCAGCTGCTACTGCGGCCCGCTGCTGTTTCTGCACTGCTGCGCACAGGGCTACGCCTATGCGTACTGGAAGTGCCGCAGCGACTACGACAAAAAGCGCTACCAACGGCTGAAGCTTCTTGTGGATGGCCTACACCGATGTCTGGATCCTGAACTGAAGGTAGAACAGAGTGTATAAGGCCTGCAAGTTAGGGTTCGCCAGCGGGTGATTTGTGGTGTTTGTCGGGCTCTTGCCTGCAATCCCTACGCTCAATCATTCTGCACTGGCTCACCTGGACGAGACTTCTTTAAGCTTAGGGTTGAGTTTTAGGTTTTGAGGCTTCGTGCCTGCCTGGGGATTTAGGCTTTCGTGTGAAGCGAGGAGTCTTGACTTGATGTTTCGGGTGTATCAGTTACGGATGATAGCTTTTCCAGCTTCCCATCTGGAAGTAGAACTGCTTAGCTTTTTGCAAAGAGCTAGCCGCAGTACGAAGCAAGCCACCAGCGCAATCCCAAGCGCAAGCTGATCAGAACTTCGGGGCAGTTCTGTAGAGGCTATACATGTATCCGGGCTTGCACGTCGTGGAAACGGCTTTGGTCGTCAGCGAACTCTTGTGCCAGGTCACTGAGTATGGAGCAGATTGGGCCGGACATCAAGATTTAGATTGACATTTTCGAAGTGAGTACGAAACCAACTAACAATCCTTTTATCGGGACTGTGCGACAGCATCAGTTGCAGCTTGTGCTTCTTTGCCCAGGTTCAGTCGCAAATCGGCGCACTATTTCAGCTTGTGGATGAGGGGCATTACGCTTCAGGAGAAGTGGGCCCGAATTCAATGGCGTCCTCCACACAAGACATATATTGGAGATGCCCTGAGTCTTAGCACACGCCATGCGTTTCAAACTCCTTGCCCCACACCCCATAACTCCAGGAGCCTGCAACGACAATTGGAGCTTCGAGTCAGAACACTCCACATCACCCGACCTGTGCCCCAAAAATGCTAAGGACCGGCTCCCAGCCGTTTACTCTGCGGCGGCCTTGGTGGACACTTCGGGAGCCTGGGTGAGCGAAGAAGCCTTCCAGCTTTTGCAGCAGCCGCCAGTCTTCAATGGTGCAGATCCGGGTCGGATCCATGCGGCTTCCCCAAAAGACTCTGCTTGACTGTCGAGGGTTTCCGAGTACCACAGATACCTATTTCAGGTGCCTGGGGAGGCTTAGCGCTCGTAGTGTAGGCGGAGGTTCGGTGGTGTGGCCTTGAAGTGTGCACTTCTAGGGGATGCCTCTTGGAGGCTGTGACTGTGAGGCATCTGAGGTCCAAAAGGTCCACGCCTTCCGCGTTCAATGCGTTGTAGGCACCAAAAACACGAATTTAAAGCATACAAGCTTGCAGACTTGTTTGAGGATGCAGGGATGTCAGTGTTGAACAGCTGCTTCAGAGCTTTCATGACGCAGCCGTTGAACCGATTGAACCGAGCATGTGAGTGAACAACCGCCTTCCTCGTCCCAAATCCCTTCCCACAAGTAAAGACACGAACAATCACCTAGGACCTGGACCCTCATATACCGTAGCTGTTCGCTGCTAGCGGTTTTAGATCATATATGCCCTTAAAGTCAACGAAGGCCCTCGAATGCTAAAGCTTCCCAGGCACAGCGAGCGAACGGCCACAAAGATGGCCCAAGTCCTGCGCTGCGCCTTCTCAGTAGCTTGGATATTCTGGGCTTTTAAGTTTCGGCTTCAGGGGTTTTATAGGGTTGTCTGGATTCAGTCGCTGACCGTTACCCAAGCCGCCATGATCCGAGGAGGCATCGCGGGAGGAGCCAGGCAGCAGCCAGATGGGTCTCGCGGCGTCTTAACTGCAAACTGCGGTTTAGCCATGTATAGGTTTCGGGTTTAGGGGTTTTGGCACTTCTCTTGAAAGTTTGCTGCACGCCCCCCGTTTGGTTCCAGCAGAGGCTTTTGCAAGCTGGATGAAAAAGGGGTTTAGGGTTTGCTTAGGTTTGGGGTTGAGAGACGGAGATGGTGCTGCTAGTTGGATGCTTGCCTGCTTGCCCAAGCAGAAGGATTTTTTGCTGGGCTAATCGCAAGAGTCGCTTTGAAGATTGGTTCGTGCTCGGATTTATTTAGAGACTTTTGGAAATTGGACCGTTCCCTTCACGGCAGCTGCGTTTGCAAGAGAGCATGATGACGGGGAACGTATAATTCAAGAGCCTCAGCTTTGTTCCTCAAGACTTCTCTGGCGCGGCAGCTGCTTGATCAATGTGCATCGAGGCCCTATCCAGCTCCTTCGAACTTCGTCGCTTGTTGTTTCGAACCTGTTGCACGAATAGTCTAGTGTTCTGATATTAGTTGTTGTTTGTATGTGTCTAGGCATACGGGCAAGGTAGGTGGGTCGGGTGGGTACGGTAGGTAGGCAGGTAGGTAGGGAGGAAGGCAGGAAGGTAGGAAGGTAATCCGAGCATCGGAATAGTGGGGGGGGGGGCCCCCAAAAAAAAAGGCAACAGAATTAAAATTTCCGGAACCGCATTAATGGAACATCATCCCTGGCTCTTTGGGCTCTATTAAAAACAGTAGCAGTGTATTGAATCTCTATTAGAAAGCCATTGGAAAAGGCTGGATGCATGGAGAAAACCTCCACTGGAGCTCTTTGGGCTCTATTAAAAACAATAGC